CTAAAGGTTTCTTTGTCTTTCGGTCTCGGTCTCGGTCGGTCGGTGGGTGGGTCTGTTTCTCTCTCTAAAGGTATATCTCTCTCTCAATATATCTCAATCTCAATCTCAATCTCAATCTCAATTTCTTTTTTTTTTTTTTTTTTTTTTTCTTTCTCTCTTTCGGTCCCCCCCCCTACCCCCCCCCCCCCCCCCTCGCTCTCTCCCTCGCCCCCCACCCTCTCTCCCCCCGCCACAATCAGGGCATGCTCGAAGTGAAGTGGGTTCGAAAGCTCTTCCAGACCGTCGCGCTCGTCGGCCCGGCGGCGTGCATGCTTCTGCTTGCACAGGTATTGTCATGTTTATTGCGTTGCCTGGTCGTTTACGGTTTGGAGGAGGGTCAGCTTCTTTCTCCCTGCGCTGAGTACTGAAGTTGTGCTTGGTGTTGTTGTTGTTGTTGTTGTTGTTGTTGTTGTTGTTGTTGTTGTTGTTGTTGTTGTTGTTGTTGTTGCTGTTGCTGTTGCTGCTGCTGCTGCTGCTGCTGCTGCTGCTGCTGCTGTTGTTGTCATCATCCCGTATTCTGAACGCCGGTTTCTAAACCTTGCGGTAGCTATGTTTTAGGACGCGCCAGAGGGCATACACAGGAGGGGGCTACGCACCAGTGTATACATAGCATAATAATGCTGTTTGCCAAACGTGATGCCTCCATCTGCGGCGCCGCGTAGCGGCACCGAAGGCTCTCCTGGACGTACATGTTGCCTGATATGTGTTTGCTCTCCGGTCTACGTCTCTATCCATCGCTATGCGCGGACATTTTCCCGCGATGTATAGACATTTTTGATAGTTTTCCTCGACATGGTCCCTCCCTCGTTGCTCGCCCCCGGCGTGCAGGGGCCGGAAACCTCTGCGGAGGCGTCTAAGCTGTTCACCGCCGCGGTCGCGCTGGGCTCGTGCTCGTGCGCGGGTTTCGGGTCTTCGGTGCAAGACTTGCGATCGCGGGTGAGACAGACAGAGAGGGAGAGAGAGAGAGAGAGAGAGACAGACAGACAGACAGACAGACAGACAGGGAGAGGGAGAGGGAGACAGAGACAGAGACAGAGACAGAGACAGAGAGGGAGACCGACAGAGACAGAGAGGGAGACAGACGGACAGACAGAGAGAAGATGGAGTGTTTGCATTTTCTTTTTGTTGTGTCCTCGCTGTCTCTCAACGACGACCGCCTGCGAACAGCATCATAGTTGCGTTAGTTTTGTGGAGCTTCCGGGGGACAAACCGTGAGGGGAGGGAACCTCTGCTTGTGTCGCAAGCAGTTTCGAAGCGCTCATCGGTGGAGGGAAAAAACCCCAGTACTATCTTAGAACGGACGGTGTCGTGTCTAGAGAAACGCGCCTTGCACAAGACGACGTTCAGAGATGACGACACGCACACGATTTTCTCTGGCTGGCGACTGTTTGGAATCTTGTGCATTTTTTTTTTTCGTTTGCGTTAGTTTGTCTCTTTGCGATTTGCGGGAGAGGGGGAGAGAGAGAGAAGGAAAAGCCGCAGCCAACGCTTTTCGGTGATACGCCCTCTCGCGCTGCGTAGTGAAGTCTTGGGGGGTTGTTCAGCACACTCTGGCACCACTTCGTCGTGCTCTTGAAGGCGTGCGCCGCGGAAATGAACGCTGTATCGTGGCCCGTATGAACAGCACAAACTTTTTCAAGCTTGAAGCGTTAAGCACCACTGCTTTGCGCCGATGTTCTGTGAAAAGCGGGGGGTCAACTATTCCGCGGAGCCCCGTCGGGTTGCCCCTTGGATTACCGTATATGACACAAGATAACACACCCCCTTGGCCGATTTTCAAAGCTCGATTTCTTCAACAACAGGAAGAGTCACAGCGCCGAAAACGGCGGCGTTGGAACCGTCTCGTCGAGAGCTGTTCGAAAACGTATTGTTTCATTTATGCATCCTCTTCGTCGTGGAGTAATCGAGCTTTGAAAATCGGTCCAGGGGGTGTGTTATCTTGTGTCATATACGGTACGTTTGTCACGTTGTTGCGTGAAAACCAAATATTACTGACGGCTGGCTTTCGTTACGGCTAGTTACGGTAGCGCCGTAGCCGACATAAACTGCGCCGTGGTCGCCTTCGACCCAGAATGATGCCCCCCGTGGTGCTTGTGTGGTCACGTTGAAAGGAGCCACCCGTGCCTCGGAGACACCTCTACCGTAAGAGGCAGCGAGATGGAACACCCTCCTAAAAGCTGATTTTTCAAATCTCGATTGCTCCTTAATCAAAATTGTTCCAATTTGTTGGTTTTGGCTCGTATCGGGCCCTTTTCGCACCCCCTTGGTTATCGAGCAATTGGTCTGTGAAAGTCTGCCTGTGTGTGGGTGTGTGTGCCATTTGTCCCCTTCTTGAGGCATGCTGCGTTGCGCTCAGTGAGTGCCAACAAGTCGGCGTCCCTTGTTTCACCATTCTCTCCTTGCTTTCAACTCGGATGGGCGTGTTGCGATTTGAGAGGCACAGCGTGGCGTACCAGCTGTTCCTTACACATCGAGGTACCAGCTGTCTGTGAACTAAATCATGGCACCGGGTTGTTTTGAATGTTCATTCATGTGGGGAATCATTCCTGAGGACGACCTTCCCCCCCCCCCCCCCGGCTGTCTGTCGCGCGTTTCTCAAGGACACCGGCGTGATCTACGGCATGACCTCGGCGGCATCGGCCGTTTGCGGCAGCGTGGGCACCTACGGGGCAGGGATCATCCTCGACACGACGGACTCGTGGACTATGGTCTTTCAGGTCAGGTCCAACTCCTTCAGAGCTTTTTTTCTTCTTTTATGAAAACATGTTGGATAAGGCATGCAGTAGGGGAAGATGGGTTAGAGATAAGGTCCAACTCCTTCATTTGGGTTTGTCCACTAAGAAAACATGTTGGATAAGGCATGCAATATGGGAAGATGGGTTAGAGATAAGGTCCAACTCCTTCATTAGGGTTTGTCCACTAAGAAAACATGTTGGATAAGGCATGCAATATGGGAAGATGGGTTAGAGATAAGGTCCAACTCCTTCATTAGGGTTTGTCCACTAAGAAAACATGTTGGATAAGGCATGCAATATGGGAAGATGGGTTAGAGATAAGGTCCAACTCCTTCATTAGGGTATTTTCCATTAAAATAACATGTTGGATAAAGCATGCAATTGGGGGAGAATGGGTAAAGGGATTGTACGGTCTGCGTACCCCCTAATCTCTTGCGAAGGAGGTCCAACTCTTCCTTCGTATCGGTGTGAAGTGAACTGGCAGCGCAGCTTGGACTCAGGCAACCCGTGCCTAAGAGACTCTCGTTGTCGTTTTTGAGGTGTTGTTGTGATGATGCGGGACAGTAGTGCGAAACGATGATCGTCCGTCCCAGGTCCAACTCCTCCTTGTCGGAGTGAAATGCTGTTGGGGTTGGGGTTGTTTTTGTTGTTGTTGTTGCTGCTGGTGTCGCGTCTTGTGTGACATGTTCGTTGCTGCTGTGGTAACGATGGGAAATGTTCGGGTAATGTTGTTGTATGCTGCATTTGCTGTCTTTTTGTTGCTGGTGCAGTAGTATCCGTGTGAAACGTTCGGGTCACTACTGTTGTGGTTGTTGTTGTTGTTGCTTTGTTCGAAGGCGCAAGGATCAAATTTCCTTGTGGTACAATGAAGTGTAGTCGTGCCGGCCGAACGTGAAACGCTTGGTTCGCCGAGGTGCCTAATCAAACCCATGGTTTGACGCAGCAAACGCAAGGATGATTACCAGCTTCTGGTTAATCGAAAAGTAGCCTTGCAGGGGTGCGAGGCCAACAACCCGACACAATCATCAACAAACGCGCTTTTGTTTGTTCTTTGTCGGTCCCCTCCCCCAAATTGGTCTACCGACTACGTCGTGCGTTTACATGAGTACCACCACCCCACCCGGACACAAAAATGTTAAACCAACCCGTCTTCTTGTTTTTTCTTCTTTTTTTTTTTGTGGTCCCCACCCCTATCCAACAGTCCTGCGCGGCGGTGTACCTGGTCGGGGCTGGGGTGTACGCCGCCTTCTACAGGGCGGAGCCCCTGGAGGTGGAGGGCAGGGGCGCGCTCGTGTTGTAGCGGTAGCAGCGCCTGCGCACGACGTCTTGAGGAGAGGCGGTCGTGCTAGAGCAAGCGACGTGCCGTCTGGACGGATTCTCCTTATTCGGCTTTTTGTATAGATGGGCGACGTCTTGAAAGGCGGTGGTGCTAGAGAATGTGACGTGGAATGTTAGCCGGTAGCCTTTGCAGGACTTTCTATTGAGTAAACATGTTGGATAAAGCAAGCAAGTTGGGTTTGGGTTATAGGGTTAAGGATAGGGTCTGCGTACCCCGTCCATGTTCAATGTCCTAATAAACTTGTTCTCTTGCGAAGGCGGTCCAATTGTTTTCGGACGGAAGCTCCCCTGTGTTTGCGTTTGTAGACGGAACGATACAACAACAATGGGGGTAAATCGTATCATAGGCATGTTCGGACGAAGTTGACTCCCAGATCGACGCCTCTGCTTGTATTGAGTTGGACGCTCGTGTGTGAGTGTGTGTGTGTGCGGTTGCGGCAGCGTTGGCTGGCATGATCACTGCTGGCCCTTAGGACAATTGTTGCATGGTACAATGTTGCTGTAGGTTGCCAAGGCCAAGGCACCAGACCGTGGTGCTTCCCAACGCTTCTAATAAAGAAACAGAGAGAGAGAGAGAGAGAGAGAGAGAGAGAGAGAGACAGACAGACAGACAGACAGACAGACAGGCAGAGAGAGAGCGAGAGAGAGAGGGAGAGGGAGGGAGGGAGGAGAGAGAGAGAGAGAGAGAGAGAGAGAGAGAACGCGAGAGAGGGAGAGGGAGGGAGGGAGCGAGAGAGAGAGAGGGAGAGGGAGAGAACGCGAGAGAGCGAGAGGGAGGGAGGGAGAGAGCGAGAGCGAGAGGGAGAGGGAGAGAGAAGGGTTTGGAATGACGGCGGGGGGGGGAATTAGAGAAGCGCATACAAGTACAGGTAGTCGAAGTTTGGACGTTGGGACGACATTTTTCTCAGGTTGGAGGGGTGGGGTGTGTGCGTGGAAGTTGCAGCAATCCCACCACCACTATAATAGTGGAGGAGTCGGTACCACCAGCACACGCCTGCGTCAAACTCGTTGGTTGGTCAACGCTCTACTGTCTATTTTGGAGCTATGGCGTAGTGGTGTGAAGCCGGGTAACGAATAGCGGCGCTGATTGCCCCCCCTCCCCTCTCTCTCTCTGTCTCAAGTATAACATGTGGCCGATTTTGATAACCGTTGATGTTTTTTGTGGCTCCTTGTGGTGCAGGCAAACCGGATGTTGTGCAGAGCATTGGAAGGCGCGTTAGTTCTGGAAACATGTGAAGTCACCCTGGGTTACACTTTCGCACAAGCGACGGATTTTTGTCACACAACAGGGAAGAGTTGTGGAAGCGTGGCCCCACACAGTCTACGTGTCAGCGCTCGTTGGACGGGCCTACCATAGGTTGCATAAGATATCACACGATTTTCGAAGCTCGGAAGGAAAAGCAGTGGCGTTGCCAATAACGGTGGCGATGGAACCGTCACGTCGAGAGCTTTCCGAAAACATATTCATACTTAAAATTTCGGCATCCTCTTCGTCGTGGAGTGACCGAGCTTTGAAAATCGGACCAGGGGGTGTGATATCTTATGCAGCCTGCGGCATACACGGGTGCAGATAAAGTGGGACCGGTTTCGTGAAATGAGGGATTTTGGTTCTCGAGATGATGCTACCCTTCATGAAGGAGATCCCCACCTGCTTCTTGTTCTCGACAGTGGAGGCCGCTAAGTGACCGAAGGGGCGAAGGGCAGGCCTGCCCCCCCCCCCCCCCAAGGTGAAAAAAGCTTGGTGTTGGCTCCCCTGCAGGGGGTGACGGCGAAATAACGTTCATGATGTAGAGCCATACAGCGGCAAGTCAAAAGAAGAGTAGAGCTTGCGGACTTTGTTTGGCAGCTGCTGTGTCATGCCTGTGGATCAGACCCAGAGCTTGTACCAAAACGCGCGGGGTTTATTCGATGACGGCAACCTGCTGTGTCATGTCTGTAGGTAGGGCAGGCCCAGAGCGTTCTAGGTGTATTGACGCAATTCTCGTGCGAAACATGATATTTCCTTAAAAAAATATGAAAACAACGCGAAACGAGGAAACAGTGCTTGCCTTCCCCTGTAAGGCGCGGGGTGGTCGTCATATCCGACTGCTGCTGCGCTGTTGTTGTTGTTGTTGTTGCACCCGGGCGTCAATGCCGCCATTGCAGATACTATCACCGGGCGGAGCAGCGCAACTCGCGCCATGAACAACACACGCATTCTTTGGTGCACAAAACAGTGGTGTCCAATTACCATAACAGTAGTGGCAGAGGCCAGAGGAGCCGTGGCGGGGTGCCTTCATCGAAAAACAATCATGCCAGGATACGTGTGCTGTCTCTCGCACGCGATGACGCTGAAATGCGATTCCGATTGGTGCAGCTGTTCTCCCTTGTGTACGTTCAATCGTGCCCATGGCATCACAATGGTTTCCGGGCGCAGGCTCCCTGGAGGGTAGGATAATGAACGGTCCAAGGCACTGCCGTCAAGTGGAACCTACGAAAATAAAAAACGACAGCAGCAGCAGCAGCAACAACAGATGTATATAGTAGTGGCATTTCACAATTGGCATCACAGTTGAATCCTGAAGAGAGTTACAGGTTTGCTGCGCGGCCATGAATGAATCGGACCTGCTTCATAATGCTTGCTGCATACCACACTTAAAACGCAGCATTTGTCCACACCCGCAAAGCCGTAATGAACACCAAAGGCGAACAAAGGCACACCACCTCTCCTTCTTCGGCCTGAAACGGGCCATGGCAATGATGAGGAAGACGTTGAAAATACGACGCGGAGCACGCAGCTACTCTCCTTTGCCGCCGTGGATTCTACCTGATGAACGTCTCGAGTGCACCGGCGTTTGTTTTTTGGGCCGTTACACCGGCAAGGATACGCCGATCAATCTAGCCAAACACGTTGATTTATTAGAAAAGTGTGTGCATGTTGATCTATCTGCTCAGCTGAAGAAGTACACGGACTACAACGTATGGCAGGGCTAAGAAAGTCTACATGTTCGTGTTGTTGATCGCCTGGTTCCTCTTTATTTTCTCTTGAGTTCATGAAGCGCCACCGAAGGTTAGACGTCCGCGTGAGGCAGCCAAGCATTCTTCATGCAGGACTGGGCAACACAACACACGGTCGCATTGAGGTATTTTTTCGCCTTGAACCGTGCCTACAGTAGTACAAGGAGCTGCAACCAATCCATCTATTCAAGTGTTGGGGGCCAGACATTTGAGAGAGATCCCACCCCTGATGTTACAAGGTGCCTGCTTGAGTCTGCCGGCCGACCGCTGGTGCTGCTGATTATCATCCGTGTGTCGCCGTCGAATCTTCCTTCGACGACTCAACTCGTCATTTTCTCACGTAATTAAACCGCGCCTGTTGTATAGAAGGTGCAGCCAATTCACCTACAAATATGCCAACGTCGGGGGGTAGATGTGAGAGAGATGCCACCCCCGATGTTTTCAAGATACCTTCTTCGAGTCTACCCGCCGACCGCTGTTGCTGACTATGCCGACTTCGGATCCTCATTCATTCGACTCAACTCGGTATTTTTTCACGAATTAAACCGCGTCGGCAGTGAAGGAGCTGCAACCAATTCACCTATGCCAATGTCGGGGGGTAGATATGAGAGATGTGATACTACCCCAGATGTTACAAGATACAGCAGTACCTTCTTCGAGTCTACCCGCCGGCGTTCAATCTTCCTTCGAGTCTTCGACCTTCGGCCTCTTGCTATCGATTTCGTCGACGACACCATCACCGCCTCCGCTTGAATGTTTTCTTCTCGTAGGGCTGCCACCTACCAATACCGAACCGTGGCGTAAACATGCGGCGCGAGAGAATGGCGGCATTCACGCGCGATCGTAACGGCGTAAGGTCGGTCAAAGCCATACCCGCCAATAGGCAACGAACGTGTCGCATGGATATCTCTCTGTTTGCATTTATCCAAATTTAGTATTTTCGCACCTGAAGGCTTTTCATCGTTTGGTGAGTGCCCCGCCAGCTTCTCGAACGCCGTGCGGTTGCGCAGCATCAACACTGTGAGACCCTCTTCTCCGTCTTCCATGTCGTCTGCTTGGTACTCTAGCTTTATGGGCGGCAAGTCAGCCTCATCGCGTTCGTGAAAACTTGAAGCTTGAAAGGTCACTTCCTTGCTTCCTTGTCGGAAACGTCTGCCGTACCGTACGAAGTCCCGCCGCGTTATGCATGCACCAGTTGCATACGTGGCAAACCTATGGGCCGCGTGACCCCCTCGCGAGAGCAACTTCACCCACAAGCAGCAGGACGGAACATCTCTGTGCGGACGTTCCCCCCCCCCCCCCTCGTTTCTTGTGAGCCTGTCTGCCAGTAGGGGATAGATACCTTTGGCCCCTACCGAATACCCCCGTGGTGCAAATCGGTGGGGGATAAAGAGGCTGCTGCTGCTGCTGCTGAAAAACACACCCACCTTCAAGGACTTCAACTCCATCGGCCAGAAGAATTCAAGTAACGGGAGGTTACCCTCGAGCACCATGTCACTCGAAGCCACTGCTACCACGGCGAGGAGAAAACGGCCCCGCGTCCTTGCCCTCTTGACGGCAGCCTTCGGGGCTCTTCCCTCCGCGACGGGGTTTGGTTTGTCTAGCGTCGCAAGCCGGGGTGCAGCGATCCGGTCGCCGTCGATTGCCTCTGACGGTGCGCTCGTGTCGACTTCGGCCCTCGAGAGATTAGCACGGTGCGAAACACAGCATCGGCGGCAGCAGCAGCCTAGGGGCGGCGGGGGCAGGAGGATGCACGAGATCACGTGCAGGGTACAGACCCCGAGAAGATACGGCAGCGCGGTGAGTGAGTGCAGGACAGAGCAGTAGCAGCGGCAGCAGCAGCAGATTCGCAGCAGCATCAACATTCGAATTCGCCCGATCGATTCGACCTCCACGCTCTGTCGTGGAACTTTCACTCCCTGCTGTGATGTTTGAATGGCACGCTCTCACGCGTGCCCGAAGCAAAACCAAGGACAGCTTTCCACCACCCGCTCTAGGTAGGGTGTGGGTCGCTCGTGTTTCGCACACCCAGCCCGACAGCAGCGGTTGTGCCCAAAAAGATGTGTCCATATCGAAAATATGTCACAAAGATCAATGTGTCGCCATATGGTCGCCCTAGCGAATCAAGGGCACCGCCGTTTGTCCTGGTCTGATCCTCCCGCTGGACGCACAGCAGTGCTACGATAACTGCTGGGTTATAAAAAGGCGATGCTGGGAAGGCAGGCGTTGCCGGAAAGTTGTTTGCCCATAAAGTGCACAGAGAAGATGCATAACCAGGTACCCCAACCTCTTGTCTTGGAACATTCAACTCCGAACGCGGCGGGATTTGACCGTTTGGAGGTGACGTGGCCGCCACGGCAGACGGCAGAGCGGCAGAGTATCCGAATGGCGAAAAAAAAAAAAAACGTAAGAAGCGTCGACCACAGATCGTCTGTAAACCACCGGGTAAAGCTACGAGCTATAACTGTTGGTGTATGTCGAACGGTATTACTTCTGTGTTTTGGTGTATATTGTCTAAGCTGTGTACCGCAAGAGGCGCAGAGATGGCACCCCCCCTCTCGAAGCTTATTTTCTCTCCAGACCCAAGGGGGTGCGGAAAGAGAAGAGACCGATACGGCGACGGAAAGCCCTCGATGAGATTGTTCCAAAACCACGATTTCGGTGTTGACACAAGCTTGGTTGTGGAGCTATCGAGATTTGAAATGCGCCTACAGTAGTGGGCGCGCCATCCCTCCGCCGCTTTTGCGGTATTGCATCAAGATTCTGGGCGGAACTCGAGGCGGAGATTTGATAGGCGATGATGCAGGCCCAAAGGGGCTTCGATGGGTTTGCTCTAGAATGCACGTTCGACGCCCGGCAACATTGTTTGGTCATCCCATACTGCCCCCTCCATTCACTGAAATGTTTTCAGCACATCCCCCAGGACAACAATGTAGTCCGTGTGTATCTCAAACGGGCAGTTAATTGCGTCTTTCTGCAGATTTTCCAATATAGGTTTGGTGCGAACACCAACCGATACCTCTCAGGCAAGCCCTAGACGAAATGTTTCCAAAACTACCCTTTTCGGCAGTGGTGCCCCCCTGATTGTGGTGAAATACGCTACAAGAACAAGCTAACACGGGGGTGTCATCTCTCCGACAATTACGGTAGCCCGCCTTATAGAGGGCCTACGTCTGTACTAATCGCATGGCCCCTTTATCACGTTTTGGATGTGCCCCTGGCTATCACCACGACGTTCGCGTACGGCGATGACGACGACGACAGGATTGGTTCGCCAACATCCAAAACCTGCCCAAGTCGCGGCTGCTCTACAACATCAAGGAGCACCTCTTCTACAACACGGCCTTCGCCTTCTGCGTGAGCATGGTCCACTACCTCACGCCCCAGCACATCATCGACGACCTTCACGTAAGTTTTAAGTCCGCCTCGCCGTGCATGCTTGGGATGGATGTTGCCCACCCCCCCTCCCCTCTCCCCCGGTGTGTGTATTTGTGGTAAGCATAGACCGCTCCAACCCCCGACTGACCGATGAAAGTGCATCCGTCTCAGTTTGGGTGTGAGTGTTTGCGGCAGTTCAGTTTCAGTAGTCTTACGCAGATTCTTCCAAGTACGCAAACATACTGGATAAAGTATAGGATCGGCTACGTTGCGGTTGGGTTGAGGGTTGGGGTATTGGCAGCAGTCCTTCAGTTTGCGTCGCTAGTAGTGCTTTCCTCTACCGGAGAATATTAATATGATGGTCGGTCGCACAGAATGTCTCGTTTCTGCTCCGGCGTCGATTGTTTCGACGCGTATCCGGGGGGGACAGATGGAGGCGTACCGTTCCAGAATTTTGTTGTTGCGTTGGGTCGTGTTTGGTTGGTTTTATGTTGTTGGCCTTTGACTAAGATGCAAGCGAGGAGGCTATGGCGGTAGGCATCCATCAGCAACCCTTGCCACGACATCTCGCTCGCGTTCGATACGTCTGTATTTCTGTCTGTCTGTCTGTCTGTCTGTCTGTCTGTCTGTCTGTCTGTCTGTCTGTCTGTCTGTCTGTCTGTCTGTCTGTCTGTCTGTCTGTCTGTCTGTCTGTCTGTCTGTCTGTCTGTCTGTCTGTCTGTCTGTCTGTCTGTCTGCCTGCCTGCCTGTCTGTCTGCCTGCCTGTCTGTCTGTCTGCATGTCTGCCTGTCTATGTTGACCCTCGTCGGTTCTGTCTTGCCTTGTTCGTCTTCGGTCGTGGCGGTTTTTGCGCCAGGTCTCGCCAATTCCGCACTCGATCATGTCTGGCGCGCTTGGGCTCCTTCTCGTCTTCCGAACCAACGCCGCCTACAACCGCTTCTGGGAGGTAGATTTTTTGGGTTGTTTGATTGACTGTTGTTGTTGTTGTTGTTGTTGTTGTTGTCGTCGTCGTCGTTTGGTTGTTGCTTGTACGCTGTCGTTGTGAATGTTTCGCTTTTTCAATCGGTGGTTAGGGCAAAGGTGATGGGTTGTTGGGGTGGTGACGTTTTTCCGTGTTTCGGTTGGTGCTGTTGTTGTTGCTGTTGGTGCTGTTGTTGTTGCTGTTGGTGCTGTTGTTGTTGCTGTTGGTGCTGTTGTTGTTGCTGTTGGTGATGTTGTTGTTGCTGATTGGTGCTGTTGTTGTTGCTGTTGGTGCTGTTGTTGTAGTTGTTGATTTGGTTGTTGAGGTTGGCGGTAGGGGCCCCACACACCACGTCCACGTAACCCCCCGGGAAGCCCCGTGGACGGATACTCTGCCGAGCGCCCCCAAACAACGCATAAGCGAATATGCCCTCACCAACGCCCTATTACGGCAGTCCGTACCGGCATTTTCCCTTTGTTGTCTCTGGTGGAGCGAATTTCCCGGTTCACGCCTCGTCTGAGGCGTACTACAGCAGCGGAGCCCTTTTTAGAAAGTTCCCATAATCTCGCAGAAAGACCACCCGTTCGAGACAATACCACGGTCGAGGGGGATGTGTTGAAGTCGTTACAGGGAGTCCTTTGTTCTCTTTAACACACAATTCCATGTCTCGTGTGCCTCTTCCACTTGTCTGCGCGCGGTTTGCTGGGGCACGCGGTTGGACTGTAACCCAACCTTGCAGGCGCGTCAAATCTGGGGTGGACTCATCAACCAGTGTCGAAATATCGCCCGCCTGAGCACGGTCGCCCTTGGACCGGATAGCCCGGAGTGGCTGGAAATGAAGGAGTACCTCAGGGTGAGGAGAACGTGGAAGCAGGAGGGCGATGTACTCGTGTAAACGCATGCCGTAGTCGTTAGACTCGCATCCCTATACAATGCCGGGACGGATCGGTATGCCGAGTTTTTGCCAGCGCAGGCTACGTTTGACAAGGGTGACCCACAACCTGGTCACCATCCTCGCGTTTGCTGTGCGAAGTAGATACGCCATGGGTTGATTTGATTGGATGACGGTGGGAAGGAGGGGGGGGGGTGTACTCATGGTCGTGCATGCCATAGTCGTTTGACCATTGACCTCGCATCCCTACAAAGCCGGGACGGAGCACGCCGGGTTCTCACCGGACCAGGCTCTCACATCACCAAGCGCGAAGCGCCGTGAGGTATTTGGCGAGTCGCATGAAGGGTGAGCTGCATCCTGCTAAGGGTATTCGGCATCTTGTGCTTACTTCCTTGCGTACGGATGACAGCTACGTATGACTTAATTTATTTTCTGGTGCTTTCACTTCCAGAGACAGTTGGGGGGCTTGTTTTACAACGTCGTTGCCAAGCGACGAAAACCCAATCCCGATGGCAAACACCGGGGGGGGGGGGGGGGGGGGGGCCCCAAACCAGGAAGGCCCAAACCTTTAAACCGTTAACCTTGGTCCCCCCCAAGGCGGGGAGGAAAACCCCCGGGTTTCCCCCGAACCAGGCCCCCCCTTCCCCAAGGCCAAAACCCCCGGAAGGAACCCAAGGGGGGGGGGACGGGGGGGCCTTTTTTTTCCTCCCCGGTCCTGGGTTTGGGGGGGGGGCCGGGGGTTTTCTCCCCCGGAAATTGGGGGGAAACCAAACCCCCTTTTAACCCCGGGGGGGCCAAAAAAAAAAGGGGGCCTACCAAAAGGGTAAAAGGGACCAAGGGGGGGAACCTGGGAAAAAAGGTGTCCGGCGCCCCCCCCTTAAAAACCCAATTAAGGGGGGGGGCTTATCCCAAAAAAAGGGAAAGAAAAAGGGGGGGTGGGCCCC